CTATCGGCCATGCGTGGGCGACGCGTCCTCGATTGCAGTGTTCGGCGGGGGAACTGATTGAAGCCCCCCGCCTGCGCCCGTGGGCAGCGCTCGAAGGCGCGCGATGCAAGGGGGCGGGGGGCCCGGGCAAGGCGGCGCAGGCAACGCGCGCCGCGGGCGCAAAGGGAAAAGGTTTCGAATCAGCAAAAGCGGCGGGGTGAGTGTCAAAATCTGCCCAGCCAATCCGACGCGCGGAGCGCTGCGGCTCAATTTTGGGGATCTTGAGGGCCAGGGCAACATGTAAATTCACATTGCGGGAAATGCCAAAATGTGAATTCACATTTTGGGAAGAAGGAACATGTGAATTCGCTTTCTGGAGAAAAGAAAAAAGCGAATTCACATTTCGGAACTTTGCATCGGAATCTCTCTGGCGCGGCCAGAATGCGAATTCACATGTTGGTGAGAAAAAAATGTGAATTCGCATTTTGGACACACCGGAAATGTGAATTCACACTGTGAGAGAATCACGGGGCCCGCGTCAGATCTGCCCCGGGGGTCTACGAGTCATCGCTTGGGAACGCGCGCGATCGCCAATCGCACAATCAAGACGCACTTGCACTCCACTTCGCCGCCGCGCGCGCGACATGCAAGAGCGCCTGCGCTCGTGAGAGATAATGGGCGGGCAGCGCGATTGCCCGCGCGGGGGGCGGGCGGGCGCGAGCGACTGGCGCTCCGTGACCGCCAACATTGGAAGCCAATCGTACTCGATCATATACATGAGCGATACATTGAGCGTACATGGGCCATTCAGTCCCCATTGACGACCCCCAGTTGCAGGCCGCTTCTTTCGCCCTCCAACGGCGCCCGCCCCCGACGCAGGACGACGTGGGATAGTGAGAGGAAGAACCTGGACAATGAGGGGCATATCGAGAAGTCTCCTTCGCGCTGGGGCCGTTGTAAAATCGGCGACGCGCAGCGTCCAGCCAAGGCGACGAGGGCGCTGCGGATGTTCCCTCCGGCGCAGAAGGTGGACCTGCCAGCGTGTGCAAAGTCGCCGAACCAGCGCCCAACCGAGACAGTCAACGATGGTCACAAAGCCCAGAAGGCAAAGCAATGACGGCTGATAACCTGTGAGAGAGATGAACGAGCAATACAGCCAGTAAGCACATGCCCATTACCTGCGGAGCGGCGCCCGCGCAGGGCACTTGGCCGCAGGGCGCTCCACAGAGACGCGCGCGCCTTGAGGGTCACGCGCAGAGAGGTGACAGAAGAGAAAGAAAAGGAGAACTGCGGGTGACGCCACCGGCCTGGCCTGAGACATCTTTCGCAGGGGCTGACGCACGCAGGCGGTGCCAATGGGGCCTTCGGTGGAGCTGCCTATGGGGCCACGAAGCGCTGTGCTGGGTGGGGGTGACGCATGCGGGCGGTGCCGCTGGGCTTCGGTGGAGCTGCCTATGGGGCCACGAAGCGCTGTGCTGGGTGGGGGTGACGCATGTGGGCGGTGCCGTTGGGCCTTGGTGGGGCTCCATATGGGGCCATCCTGCGGCGTTGGGCTCTCGTGGCAGTGCATCGCCCCGCGGCCCCATGAGGAGCTCCACCGAATGCCTCAATGGCACCGCCCGCATGCGTCACCCCCACCCAGCGCAGCGATTCGCGGCCCCATGGGGAGCTCCACCGAAGGCCCCACTGGCGCGCCCCCACCCAGCACGGCGCTTCGTGTCCCCCCATAGGGAGCTCCGCCGAAAACCCCACTGGCACCGCCCGCATGCGCCAACCGCGCCCAGCACAAGGCGTCGTTGCCCATAGGGGGCCCCGCCGGAACCCAGCGGCACCGCCCGCGCGCGTCGCCCCCACCCAGAACAGCGCTTCGCTGCCCCACAGGGGCCCTGCCGCAGCCCAGCGGCGCCGCCCGCGTGCGCCGCCCGCGCCCAGCACGGCGCTTCGTGTTTGGGAGTAACTCAACGACGTGATGTTTCGCCGGCTTCGAATAAGCACGCCCCCGCTCCGAGGTAGTTTGTCGCGGGCCAGGCCGAGGGCGCGCCAGGCCCAGAAATCCAAATTCATGGAGGCCCCGCGCTGGAAAACTCTTGGGCGCGCAGCCAGCCGTCTCCCAAGATCCACGAGATGCTCATGCCGCAAGGTCCCACCAGCGCTCCAATGGCATTTGATGGCCCCCCCTGGTCTCCAGGATGCATGTGTCAGCCAGGAGCTGCTTGAAGCACTCGGGCTCAGGCGCGCCAGGGAGCTGGAAGCGGGGCAGCGGGGCTGCCCATCGTAGAGCGCGAGGCTTGCTCTTTCGGGCGCCGAAAGACATTGCGCGTGAACTGGCTCAGATTGATATCCAGCGCATGCCTGAACTCCGGCGGGCGCGCCTTCCGCGCGCTGGTGGGCGCCCCTTGTCCGGGGCGCGGCCGAATTGCGCGAGTCCTTGCATCCCTGGCCCAATGGTCGCTGTCAGGTCTACTGAGCCTGAATTGGGCCCAGGAGATCTCAAACCCTTCTTTCTGGTGCGATCGCAAGCCCCCAGGCGGCGCGCCCCCCCTCGACCGAGGCGAGCCCCGAATGATCGGGGAAGGGGGGGGCAGGGCCCCGCCTTGAACTGCTTTGCCTTTGCCTCCCAAGCCAAATTCCTTGCGAGCCTATTCTCTTGGAGGGCGCGCTGGGGAACGGATGGCAAGGGACATCGATCAGAAAACGTGAGCCACTAACTAATGGTGCGTACTCCCAAATCGGGAGCGTCCGCTGACTGCGAAGCAGTTATGTCTACGCGCCGTTGGTGCTTCCTCTTCAGCAAAAGACAAATCAACATCGCCCGCCGCCCTCGCTCTCGCCAGCCCTCGGGGTGGCGCGGGAAGCGGCGGCGAGGCGAGGGTCTCGTCTGGGATTATGATTGCTCCACTGTCCGGGTGGCAGGGGCGGCCTTGCCTTGCCCCCTTGCTGGGCGCCCAGAGCTGCTACAGCTGAGCCCTGCTCGCCGACGGGTGGGCCCGCTGGTTTGGGCTGGGCCGCCGGGGGCCCGGCGGGGGCGGATGGGGCCCGAACCCGCGCCATGGCCGAGGCGGAAACCGACGGGGGGGGTTGGCCGGGAAAAGACCAGGGCGCTGAATCTGCGCCTGGTGCGAGTTAGAAACCTCGACGAACGGAACAGAAACTATTCCAATATGCGCGTTGTTCGCTGCGCCGACTTGGTCCATCGCTGCTCGAAGATTGCCCATCTGCTGGCCTATGTTGCCAGAGAATGCTTGATGGGCTACAGTGATTTGCTGCCTGAAGGCCTCTGCCATCCCCGTGGGCTTGGCGTTCGCCTTTGCAAGCGTTGCTTCCACAAAACTTCGGAATAGAATTGGTTTTGCTTGACTTGCTGCTCTGTCATATCCAGCAAGCTTCTGCTGCAATTTCTTTGATGGCTGCTGCGCTCGTGGAGCTGCCGTCTTGCTGGCGTCCCTTCTCGGAGTAAGCGAAACCATCATAGTACCTCCTACCTACACGCACTTCAGCTGCTGCCCGGGTTCAACAGATCGACGGTCACCTGCAACTGCAGAATGGACGCGCCCACAATCTTAGATGGCGGTGCTGTCTGAGTGGAAGGTGCTGGACCACCGTCCTGCTCTCGTCGTTTGCTGCGCATCAGCTTGTGCGCCTTTCTTCTTGCGCCGCAGCGACGCGGGAGGGGCCTAGTAGCGCTGCATTCCACTGCTAGCATCAGGCCATGTTGAAGGAGACGGCCGCCTGGCAGGTTACACAAACACCAGCATGGGAAAGTGGCGCAGCCGAACCAACCGCTGAGGCTGAGGGACAACTTTGCTGACCAGGGGCTTTTTGGCGAGCCACCTTTGCCACTGCTTTCATGCTTGCTATTGGTTTTGGTCGGTCATCCTGTCCAAGGGCTGGGCGGAGTGGTGGTTACCAAGGATGGATCGAGCGTCAGCAAACCAAAGAAGAACACGTGGTGCTCCCCTCCTCGCCCTGACCGTCCGATGCCATGGGAGGCCCACTGGCGCGGGGAATGCCACGGGGCGCCGTGGGAACAGCGCGGCGGTCGCCTCGCCCACACAAGAGACACGGGGCACGGATGGCCCCCCGGGTGGGCTATGGCGCGGCGGCGCTCAAGCCCCTTCCCACACGGGCCGGCCCGATCTCAACCGAAAATCGGGCGGCAGGCGCCAATTCCGCCGATGACCGACCAGGCCGCCCCCGATAGGGCCAAAACAGGCTTTCTTTGTCCCTTCGCTCTTCCTCTTCCTCCTCCCCCTCCTGCTCCCCACTTCCCTCCTCTCACACCCTCCCCACCTCCTTGTTCTCTCCTCCTCCACCTTTTCTCTCCACCTTTTGTTTCCTCTGCTGCTCCTCCTCCTCTTCCTCGTCCTCCTCCCCTCCTCCCCCTACTCCCGCTCCCCCCCTCCTCCTCCCCCCGTCCTCCTCCCCCCTCCTCCCAACCCTCTTCCTCCTCTTCCTCCTTGTTATTATCCTTCTTCTTCTACTCGTATTGTTCCTTTTCCATCTCCTCCTTTTCCTCCTTTCCTCCTCCTCCTCTCCTCCTCCCCCTCTCCCCTTCCTCTCTCCCTCCTCGTCCTCCTTCTCTTACTCCTCCCTCCTCCTCCTCCTCCTCCTCTCTCCCTGTCCTCTCCTGCTCTTACCCCCCCTCCTTCACTTCTTCCTCCCCTTCCCCCCGCTCCTCCTCCACCACCTCCTCCTCCCCTTCCCCCACTTCTCCTCCATCACCACCACTACCACCACCTCCTCCTCCTCCGCCTCCTCCTCCTCTTCCTCCTCTTCCTCTTTTTTCTCATCTCCTTTCTCCTCCTCCTCCTATGCCCCCCTCCTCGCTCCTGTCCCCCTCTCCCCCCCGCCGTCGCGAAGATTCCCTTCGGGGATCACCCGTTACTGAGAACGATGCACAGAAGATTAGCATGGCCCCTGCGCAAGGATGACACGCACACACCGAGGAATGTACACATTCCCCCCCGCCGTCGCCCTCATACTGCGCCCCGCTCCCCCCGGTGGCGCGCGGCGAGCGAGGCCTTCCGAGTGGGCGCCCAACCTCTGCGCCCTTGTGGCGGTGGTGAGCAGCTCCTCGCGGGGCCGCGCGTGCTCCGCCGCGCGCTTCAACTTGCCGTCGCTCGGACATCCATTCGCCGTGTGTGTTTTTTTTGGTTTCGTGTGCGTATTTCTTCGCAGTGTGACACACAATTGCTCCTCAACACACACACACACACACGCACACGCACACGCACCCACACCCACACCCACACCCACACCCACACCCACACCCACACCCACACCCACACCCACACCCACACCCACACCCACACCCACACCCACACACGCACGCACGCACGCACGCACGCACGCAGACACACAGACACACAGACACACAGACACACAGACACACAGACACACAGACACACAGACACACAGACACACAGACACAGACACTGTGTTGTGCTGTGCTGTGTGGTGATGTGCTGTGTTGTGTTGTGCTGTGCTGTGTTGTGTTGTGCTGTGCTGTGTTTTGCTGTGATGTGCTGCGATGTGCTGCCACACACACGCACACATGCGGCCTCGCCGCGTTGTGCTGCGCTGTGATGTGTAGCGGTGCGGAATCCGGAGCCATTCGTTCTGCACCGGGAGCGCCGGCCCCGGCCCGCGATTAGTTGATCCCGTCGTCCTCTCCTTCCCCTTCTGTCCCTCCCCCTCCCCTCCTTGCGATCCCCTTCCTCCCCTGCTCACACACACACACATACACACGTGTGGCTCAAGCACGGTCTCTCACCCACCCGCGTTCCCACATGCTACAGCGAGCCTTGTGTGGAGTCGAGTCGCGTGGTGCAGGTGCTGCCCCGTCACACCGCCCTGAACGGGCTGGTCCACCCACCAAAACCGACAGCGGCACCCACCGAGGTGGCGTGGGTTGTTCGCGTGTCGCGTGAGTGTCGGTGTGCCCAGTTCCGCGACGGGACCGGTCCTGGTGGATGGGTGCATCAAGAGCAGTGTGCGGGGTGTGTATATTGGCGTTGGGTGGCCGCGCAAAGGACCGTGCCCCACCCACGTACCTCCCCCTCATCCACTGCAGCCGGCATTGCTTGCCTGGGCGTGCGGCCTGGTATGAGACGGTGCGAGGATACGGTGTCCCCGCTATGGGCGGGCAACGAACAAACGAACACACACACACACTCACACACACACACGCAAACACGCAAACACGCAAACACACACACAAACACACAAACACACAAACACACAAACACACAAACACACACCCACACACCCACACACCCACACACCCACACACCCACGCACGCACGCACGCACGCACGCACGCACGCACGCACGCACGCACACACAGAGGAGGAGGAGGAGGACCCGCCTCACGGGATCTCGCGATCCCACGCGGGGGACCGCGCGACCGCGTGGCGTCTGTGAGCAGCTCCCCCGCAGGGCGCGCTCGGCTCCCAGCTCGAGGGCATCTTAAGATCCCAAGCGAAATGTACACGCGCATCCACGCGCACTGTCCAAACTTCTTCGATCGCCTGCGCATACGACTGTGCTTCTGTTTGCATAGCGGTTCCCTGTGTCCCCCATGTCGAGCTGGACCCGTGCGTGCACCGAGACGGGTGACGCCCGTCACTGTTCGCCGCGATGTACGCGGGCGGCGTTATGCTGCTGCCCAAACGCCCTTTTGCCCCTCTTCGCGATCTTGCACGCGGGTCGACAACCTTCGCTGCCTCCCGCTGTAATGCCGCGCGTGCGGCCGCCGAGTAAACAGAACATGACGGTTTGCTTTGCTGCCCCCGTTTCCCTTGCACCCGCCTTCCCAATCTGCCTCTAACCATGGTTTACCGGACTGATGCACGGCGTCTTGAACAAATGATGTCCTCGCCATTGCTCGGACGTCCATTCCACGTGCATGGTTCGATTTCGTGCGCGTTTTTTCCGCCAGATGATCCAGGATGCTCCTCGATGGTCCTCGGCAAGGAAAATGCACACGTCCGAGCGATGCCAAGTCTCAGCCCAGTTGACTGCTTACGTTCCCCGTTCCAGTCTGGAATGGACTTTGCTTTCCCACTGCGGCATGACATGACGCTGAATGATCGTATGCCTGCGTTGTTTTGATGTTTGTATATGTTGTAGGTGCGTTGTGTGTGTGTTTACGCGTTCGTATGTGTATGCTTGTATATCTGGTGTGTTCGTCCGCGTGGCTCTTCGCCCTGGCAGCGTGCGCTCAAAAAACGTGTATGTGCAGCTAAGTTACTGTGTTGAATGTGTGTGTGTGTGTGTGTGTGTGTGTGTGGGGGGGTGTCTGTGTGAATGCGTGCGGTTGTGTGTGTGAGACCTGTTCTACGACGCCGCGCCGCTGCGCGCGCGGCCGCGACGCACAACATGTGTTTGTGTGCGTGTCCGATCCGCCTACGTGCGCTTCGTGTCGATGAACACGCGACCCGATACTTGGTCCTAGGTATGAAGAACAAGTGTGTGTGTGTGTTGTGCTGTGTTATGTTGTGTTGTGTGTTGTGTTGTGTGCGTGTGTGTGTGCGTGTGTGTGTGTGTGTGTGTGTGTGTGTGTGTGTGTGTGTGTGTGTGTGTGTGTGTGTGTGTGTGTGTGTGCGTGAGTGTGTGTGCGTGTGTGTGTGTGTGTGTGTGTGTGCGTGTGCGTGCGTGCGTGCGTGCGTGCGTTGCGTGCGTGCGTGCGTGCGTGCGTGCGTGCGTGCGTGCGTGCGTGCGTGCGTGCGTGCGTGCGTGCGTGCGTGCGCGCGCGCGCGAGCGCGTGCGTGCGCGCGTGCGCGCGCGCGCGTGCGCGCGTGCGCGCGTGCGCGCGAGTGCGCGCGTGCGCGCGTGCGCGCGTGCGCGCGTGCGCGCGCGTGCGCGTTGCGCGTGCGCGTGCGCGTGCGTAGCGCGTGCGCGTGCGCGTGCGCGCGCGTGCGCGCGTGCGCGTGCGCGCGCGTGCGCGTGCGCGTGCGCGTGCGCGTGCGCGTGCGCGCGTGCGCGTGCGCGTGCGCGTGCGCGTGCGCGTGTGCGTGTGCGTGCGCGTGTGCGTGTGCGTGTGCGTGCGTGTGTGTGCGTGCGTGTGTGCGTGTGCGTGTGCGTGTGCGTGTGCGTGGTGTGCGTGTGCGTGCGTGTGCGTGTGCGTGTGCGTGTGTGCGTGCGTGTGTGTGCGTGTGTGCGTGTGCGTGTGCGTGTGCGTGTGTGTGTGTGTGTGGTGTGTGTGGTGTGTGTGGTGTGTGTGGTGTGTGTGTGTGTGTGTGCGTGCGTGCGTCCGTGCGTGTGTGTGCGTGTGTGCGTGTGTGCGTGTGCGTGTGTGCGTGTGCGCGTGTGCGCGCGTGCGTGCGTGTGTGCGTGTGTGCGCGCGTGTGTGTGTGTGTCTATGTCTGTGTCTGTGTCTGTGTCTGTGTGTGTGGGTGTGTCTGTGTGTGTGTCTGTGTGTGTGCGCGCGCTTGAACGTGCATGCGACATGCATCTGCGCGCAAAGATGCAACGCGCACGTGCACGACGCATGCCTCTTTGGCCCCGTCCTTGGTCTCGGGCGAATAGAACAGCAGCCGCACCAACGCCACGCTGAAGAAACGGGCCACACGGGTCTTCACGACCTGACTGTAGGGTGGTGGGGGATCCTCTCTCTGGGCTGAGTCGGGGGGCCCGAGGCCCATGCGAGAGCCAGCTTGTGCACGGTGCACGGAACAAGGCTTCGAGAGCCAATGACGTCATCATGGCTTAGACGCGCTCCAAGACTACACCCCAGTCCTCCAACCGAAACGCGACTTGTGCTTTTGTCAGCGCAGCGGTTTGGAGAGATGGATGGGGAGAGCCAGAGGGAGACGCAGACGACCGAAGACCGACGTGCCACCCGTCTTCTCTGTGTGAGTGTGCAGCGCCAAGCTTCCAACGTAGGCAAGCCACCTGCATCTTGAAACACAACATGAAGACATACTGGCGCACTCTAGGCCAAATACGTTGCATTGGGCTGCAAGTTTCCGCGCCCATCCACTCAGGGGAGAAACACATCCCCCGACCCCGTCAACGTGTGTGAAAGGTTTTTCCGTTTGAGTCGTCGTCGTCGTCGTCGTCGCCACTCCTCCCTGTCCGTGGGTCCTCCCCCTCAGGACTTTCAGCCATATTGAACTCGAGCAGCGTCGTAATCGAGTCGCTGGGAAGCCCCTTCCCTTTGATTCCTTCCCCGATGGGGGGGAGTTGAGGGTCGTGCGCCCCCCATCCCTGGGGGGGAGCGCTCCTCCCTGAGAACAACTTCCCCTTAGATTTGTTGCCGCCCAGACGCCTCGAGCTCACTTGTACCGCGACTTCCTCCAAGAGGGCCCGCAAACAGCCCAAAATCGCTCCTAGATTCCCCAAGGACGGCCCGAGAGGGCTCCAAGAGGAGCCCCCCCAAACAAAAACCAACAAAGTAAGCATTGATTATCACTGTGCTTTTCAAGGTTGTTCCCGTCCTAGCCTTTCCGTGCTTCCGACGCCCGAAGACGACTCAAGAGCACCCACAATCGCACCAGGACGGCCCAACAAGCTGCCGAAAACACCCCCGAACTATCCAAAAGGGCCCCCAGGCGGCCCAATATATCCCCAAGAGTCTCTCGAAAGGGGGAACACCAACGGACGCTTCGAGCCTTCCGCCCCAAGAGGCTCCCAAGAGGCCCTAAGAGACGCCCATGAAGCCCCCGACAGGCCCGCGAGAGCTCCAAGAGCACTCCCCAGAGAACCCCAAGGGGGTAATACAAACGAGGTTCATTCATCTTTCGAATGTTTTGCGTCGCAAGAGACCCAGTTGAGTCCCAAGAGCACTCCCAAGAGAACCCTATGAGGGCAACACCAACGAGGCTTTTTCAGGTTTTGAATGTTTTCCATCGTCGCCGTCGTCGTCGTTGTCGTCGTGGTCGTGGTCGTTGTTGTGGTCGTGGCCGTGGCCGTGGCCGTGGCCGTGGTCGTCATCGACGTCGTCGTCGTTCTCCAGGGTCGGCGGCACCGGCCGTAAGGCTTTCGCAATAGGTTGCGTTGGGCTGCAAATTTCCCCGCCCGACCGAATCATCAACAGGAACATGGAAATGCTGCGCCATTCAACGTCGTTCAGGGGAGAGAAAACATAGATGGGAATGGGAATGGGAATGGAGATGGTAAACTGAATAATTTACGTAGCACCCCGCAATTGCGGATAAGGGTGAGGGGGCGGGCGCGGGCGACGCGCGCGTCGAGACGGCGGACCTCGTGCCCCTCACCTTCCCTGTCGATGGCGCCCTCCTCCTCTTCATCCTCCTCCTCCTGCTCCTCCTCCTCCTCTTCCTCCTCCTCCTCCTCCTCGTCCTCATCATCGTCGTCGTCGTCCGCCTCCGCCTCCTCCACCTCTTCCTCCTCTTCCTCCTTTTCCTCCTTTTCCTCCTCCTCCTCCTCCCCTCCTCCTCCTCCTCCACTTCCTCCGCCTCAACCTCCACCTGGAAGGAATTCGAAAACAGCCCGCCGCAGGCGCCGAAAATTTTGACTTGTACACTGAACGCGGTTTGGGTCGCAGGTTCTCCACGTGGAGCGAATGCAAAAGAAACCCGCCGCAAGCGCCGAAATTTTGGCTTGTTCAGTGAACGTAGTTTGGGTCGCGGGTGGGACGCGGGCTCTCCACCTCCACCTGGAAGGAATTCGAAAACAGCCCGCCGCAGGCGCCGAAACTTTTGATTTGTACAATGAACGCGGTTTGGGTCGCAGGTTCTCCACCTGGAACGAATGCAAAAGAAACCCGCCGCAGGCGCCGAAAATTTTAGGTGGGTCGCGGGGTGGGTCGCGGGTGGGTGCGGGTGGGTCGTGGGTGGGTCGCGGGCGCGGTTGGGTCGCAAGTTCCCCACCTGGAGCGAATGCAAACGAAACCCGCCGCAAGCGCCGAAAATTTTGGGTGGGTCGCGGGGTGGGTCGCAGGTGGGTCGCGGGTGGGTCGCGGTGGATCGCGGGTGCGTCGCGGGTGGGTCGCGGGTGGGTCGCGGGTGGGTCGCGGGCGGGTCGCGGGTGGGTCGCCAGTGGGTCGCGGGTGGGTTGCCGGGGGGGTCTCGGGGTGGGTCGCGGGCGGGTCGCGGGGTGGGTCGCAGCTGGGTCGCGGGTGGGTCGCGGGTGGGTCGCGGAATGGGTCGCGGCGTGGGTCGCGGGTGGGTCGCGGGGTGGGTCGCGGGTGGGTCGCGGCTGGGTCGCGGGGTGGGTCGCGGGTGGGTCGCGGGTGGGTCGCGGGGCGGGAAGCGGGTGGGACGAGGACAACAACAAACAACAAACAACAAACAACAAACAACCACCACCACCACCAACAACAACAACAATAATCCGCATCTCGGAATTCCACTTCAGCCACGCACCCAGGGACAGTGAATGACCGTTCGGTTCAACCCCCTCACTATGATGATTCATGAGTTACAACGGTCGCGCCACTCAACTCCTATGGGTTGTGTATGCCGAAGCCTGGGAAGTCGGAGCACACGACATAGAAGTGGCCAAAGGCCGGCCACCCTTCCTGCAATGAAACACTGGCCGACTCTTCTTGGAAAAGCGCGCGGGGCGCTGGGAAGCGGGGAAAACGAGAACGCCAAAATCCTTCAAAAACCATCGGAAAATTAGCGAATCTTGCCTCCCAGGGCCCTCTTGGGGAGCCTCTTGAGTCCGTCCTGGAGCGTGTTGGAGTCCTCGTCGGCCGTCTTGAGGGCAGCTTGGGCGTCTTCGGGGCCTCTTGGGACCGTCTAGGGCCCTCTCGGGACCTCCATTAGCCTGTCGTGGCCTGCTTCGGGGCGGGCCCGGGCCGGGCCGCCTCGGCCCTTGGGGGCCTACTGGGGCTTCTGGGGGGCCTCTTGGGAGCCTCGCGGGGCTTCTTGGGAACCTCTTGATGGCCTCCAGGGGCGTCCTAGGAGCCTCTCAGGCCGGAGACCTCGAAATGTCGCGCTCTTCGGGCCCTCTTGGGTCGCTCTTGGGGCTCTCTTGGGGCGCTGACGACGCCTCTTGACTTATCTGGGGAACCTTCTGGGCTGTCTCTGGGCTTTCTTCTCGGGAGCCTCTTCGGCCGTCTTGGAGCGATCTGAAAGGCCCCTGACGCGGTCCAGGACCATGGGGAGGCGGAACATGGGAAAGCGCAAGAATGCTTCAGAAACCATTGGGAAATTGATGATGTTCGGTTTCTGGGGCCCTTTGGAGGGGCCTCTGGAGGCGCCCTTGGGGCGTTTTGGCGGCGTCCATCTTCGGCGTGTCCGGGGCCTCTGGGGGCTGTCTTTGGGCGTCCTGGGAACACGGAAATCATGTCCCTGGAGAAGCTTCCGGGAACATGATTTCGAACGAGGCTCTCTTGGGCCTCCCTGAGGCCGTCTTGGGGTCCTCCTGGGCTGGCTTTGGGGCTTCTTGGGCCGTCCCAGGGGGTTCTGTCAGCCCCGCACGACGACCCTTCTGGGCCGTCTTGGGCTCTCTTGGGTCTCTGTTGGGCTGTCTTGGGGCTCCTCGGGGGCGTCTGGGGCGCTGCGAAGACGAAGCAAAGGAATATGCTGAAAATGTACGCTGTACTAATTACGGGAGTGGGCTGATTTTTGCCTCTTGAAGGGCCTCTTGGGGCCTTCTTCGGCCATCTTATCTCGGGCCCTCTGGGGCCTCGCTGAAGCTATCTTGTGGGCCTCTTGGGCGTCCTGGGACACCGGAAATCATGTTCCCGGAGAGGCTTCCGGGAACATGATGTCGAACGAGGCCCTCGTGGGCCTCCCCGAGGCCGTCTTGGGGGCCTCCTAGGCTGGCTTCGGGGCCTCTTGGGCCGTCTTGGGGGGTTCCGTGGGCCCCACAGGGACGATCTTTTTGGGCCGTCTTGGGCCATCTTGGGTCTCTCTTGGGCTGTCTTGGGGCTCCTCGGGGGCGTCTGGGGCACTCTGAAGACGAAGCATGCGAGCATGCTGAACACGCACGTTTTACGACAGGAGTGGGCCGATTGCTGCCTCTTGAAGGTCCTCTTGGGGCCTTCTTCGGCCATCTTGAAACCATCTCGGGCTCTCTGGGGCCTCGCTGAAGCTGTCTTGTGGGCCTCTTGGGCGTCCTCGGAACCCGGAAATCGGGGAACATGATGTCGGCCCACTTGGGCATCCCTGAGGCCGTCTTGGGGGCCTCCTGGGCCGGCTTTGGGGCCTATTGGGCCGTTTTGGGGGGTTCCGTGAGCCCCACGGGGCGATTTTTTTGGGCCGTCTTGGGCCCTCTTGGGTCTCTCTTGGGCTGTCTTGGGGTTCCTCGGGGGCGTCTGGGGCACTGTGAAGACGAAGCAAGCGAGTATGCTGAAAACGTAATTTTACGACAGGAGTGGGGCGATTGTTGCCTCTTGAAAGCCCTTTCGGGGCCCTCTTCGGCCATCTTGAGGCCTTCTATTTTTCCCCAGCACAAGCTTGAGAGGGCCCTGGGGCGAGGCATCGGCAACAGTGACAACAGAACGCAGCAGCATCGAACAAGTAAAAAACTCTGGGCCTGTTAAATTCTGAATTCGTGCGGGATTGAAAGGCGGAAGAGCAGAGAAGGGAGGGAGGGTCGGGCGGCTCGCGCGGCTGATTAGAGCCAGCGATTGCGGATCACCAAATTGACAGGCCAACCCGATAAACTATCTCCAAGGCCTTCTATTTTTCTCCAGCACAAGCTTGAGAGGGCGCTGGGGCGAGGCATCGGCAACAGTGACAACAGAACGCAGCAGCATCGAACAAGTAAACAACTCTGGGCCATATTCACGTCCAGATTCATTAGTGTACTGGTAATACCGCCTAGCATTTACAAATGTCCCAGAACCGAGAGAGCCTACGATTATTTGACGCATCTACAAGAGACTTGGCCAGAATCTTGCACAGCTCCTTGGGGTAAGGCTGTGCTACTGCTGTCCAAAACTGGCCACCGGGGGCCTTGCCCTCAAGCACTTGGTGAGGCCTCTGGGACCTCTCACAAGTGCCTTTACCGTGGCACTTTCGCCCAAGAAGCTCCGGAGAAACGTGCCAGAGGCGAAGCCGGGTTCGTTTACGCCACGGCTCACCCCACATACAAAAATCCGTGAAAACATCATGAACATTGGGGAGCCTACAGAGACCTAGCACAGGCGGACACAGCCAAAGACGAGAAAAGGCGGGATTCTCGAGCCCTCCAGGGATCCCTCTGGTGTGAGCTAACTTAGCAAGCACCGCGGAGACATGCATCAAACGGTTACCCAACTGCACTCGCATTTGATCGGGACCTGAGAGGCCTGGCAGCCCAAGAGGAAACTCTTTGGACCTCAAAGGTCCTGGCCCAGACTTGGTATACCTACGGGCCAAAGAGAAAGAAGTGCACGGGGTTCCTAACCACAAGATGCTCACCTCTCCACTGAGAATCCATCCTTTCAAAACTTCGACACTGGACGCCTTGGTGAGATCAAATTGCGCTCCTCGGGTGATGTCCCACTCGGCCGTGGGGGTTCCTCTGGCACGAAGCGCCGAGGCGAGGCGGCCTGACCCAGCGAAGACCTCGACGGCGACCCTGTCTCGCCCCAGGCGCACTCTGTGGAGCGTCGCGTTGAGCAGCTGGCGAACAGCTGCGGCAGCTTCTGCATGCTGAGACGCAGCCGCTCCTGCAACACGGGCGGCACCTTCGCCACTTGCAGCGCCAGGCGGCCGTGCTTCTCGTACCTCCGCACGGACAGGCGAGCTCGCCACCTGCCTCGCTTGGCCACCTCCTCGAGTGACCTCCTTCCCACGATCCGATCGTGGCTTGCTCCTCCGTGCCGTAGGCAGTACAGCGTGGCACCGAGGCTTTGAAGTCCCAGCACCGCCAGCGCGTTCTCGAGCTCCTCGCGCAGCTGCGCGTAGCCGAAACTCCACAGCGACTCGCGGGGCTCCAGCCGCGCCTTGAGATCCCTGAGCGCGGGGGTAAGCCATTGGAGCTCGGGCGCGTCGAGCGGCAGGGGGTCGCCCAGCTCGCCTGTCTTGCTGGGCACCAGCAGCTCCTCGGGATGAAGCAGCAGCGTCCACCAGCGAAATCCGCCCTGCAGCCCGGCCGCAGGCGGCACCAGCTGAAAAGCCTTCATCGCCAGGAGCTCTCCTTCATAGCATTGGAACATGAGGCAGAGAGCGCGCGCCATCGCCACCTCCTGCTTCAGCAGCAGGAGCTCCAGCACGCCGCAGAGCACCAGCCACGGGAGCGGGGGGCGAGAGTGGCCGGGCCGCTTGCGTTTCCAGCCCAGCAGCGCCCGGCTGCTCCTCGGCAGCACCACCCGCAGGGGCCGCCCCAGCGCCGGTCGCGCCCAGAGCACCGCCGACAGCAGCTTCGCAGCCCTGTTCGGCCGCACTCCCTGCGCGAACTCGTCGTTCAGGTACTGCAGCAGGGCGTCGTCCCACTCCAGCGCGCTCCAGCTGGGCAGCGTCTCCACTCCGAGCCAGTTGCAGAGGCCACTGAGGCACTTCAGGTAGTTCTGCCGGGTAGAGGGCCTCACCGCCTCCAGCTCCAGTCCTGACGCGCTCGAGCCCAGGAGGCGGAGCCACGGAAAGGCAGTCGACCTCTGGGTCGCGGCAACGGGCTGGGGGCGTCTGGCACTGGCCCTCGCCTGACCAAAGCGCGCGCGGCCCGACGAGCCCAGGAGGCGCTTCCGCCATTGGCCGATCGCCGGCGCACTCGGAGCAAGCAGCGGCTGCGCACTCGGTGCGGCCGCCACGAGCCGACGGCGCTCCATCGCCCCGCAAACGGCGAGGCTCGAACCGCCTTGAAGGACCGTCGGCGGGGTTCCACTCTGAAGGGATCCATCGCACTGACACACGACAAGACGATGCGAGCTGAAGAGCTGTGAAGTGTCCCAACTGAGCGAGGATGGGGAAATCCGAGGCTCTTCCTTTTGCAACTGCACAGCACATACACATGCTGTCTGACAAAAATAGAAGCCTGCACCCATGATGCGCCACTCGCCGCACCTGCCGCCGCATGGCCCACAGCAACGCCTCGCCCTCCAGAAGGTGGATGGGGGCACGATGGCGCCACCGTCTCGAGGCTACGGTCTTCCACGAGGTGGCCTTGCAGAAGTCCGACGGCGCGTCGGGGAACGGGGAGTCGCCGACGGCCCCCTCACGCAGGGCGCGTGCACGCGAGCCTTCGGCCACCAGCTCGCGCTCCTTGAACCTCCAGCGTTCTCTAACTCGGCCGATGCGCCCGACGCCGCGTGGGTCCGCGGAGCGCTCCACCGCGCCCAAGCCAGTCATCGAGGCGTCCACGGCCATCACGCTGGGGGCCCATGCGCCGCGCAAATCCGCCCACACCAGCGGCAGCAGCGCTCGCGCCCAGGCCAGTTCTCGGCGCACCGAAGGCCAGAGCCGCACGCGCCGAGAGTAGCACTTGCCGACAAAGACGTAGGACGCACTGAGCAAGCTGAGCACCTCGCGTCGTAGCAGCAGCACGTACGTCAAATGCCCGATCAGCCGCTCTAGCTCGGCTCCCGTCAGGAGGGGGTGCTTCAGGATGTAGTCTAGACTCATGACCAGCCTCCAGAACCGCTTGGGCGCGAGGTCAATCGCCCCCTTCACCCCGTCGATGTGGAACCCGAGCAGGTCCGCGTCAACTTGCGGCCCCGAGATGTCGTGAGTAGTCAGACCACGGCCCCTCAGCTGCCTCTCCATCGAGTCACCGTCGAGCTGGACTGTCTCCTTTACGGTCCCCAGCGAGGCGAAGTTGTCGATGTACAGGAGAGCAGCGGGCTCACGACCGGCGACAGCCGGCGCGCAGCGGCGATTGCAGATCCAGCCGGGCCCCTTGCGGACCAGCTCGCAGCAGCTCCCCGTTCGCCGCCTGCACCAGCGCCACGGCCCAGCTCCAGCCCATCGGCACCACGCGCACCTGAGAGTGAACGAAGTCGTGCCCGGGCGGAAACAGGCGGCGCAGACTCCGCGGCAGCAGCTTCCGAGGCACCGCAGGCAACACGAAGTCGGCCCTCAGGTCGTCAGGCAGCAGGAACTGGTAGTAGCAGTTCTCGACATCGCCCTCACTGACCCACAGCCGCTGTCCTGCAGGCAACTCCAGATCACCCAGGGCCTCCGGAGACGCCAGAGCAACACTATCTGGAGGTACAAACTGCGAGTTCGTCTTCCGAGGGTCGAAGATGATCCGCAACGAGCCGTCCTTCTTACGCACAAAGAAGACTCCCACAAAACTGCGAACCTCAGTCGCCGGCTCGACGACACCCAATTCGAATGCAGACATCAAAAACTTGGCGTACTTGCTGGGCGACCTAGCCAGGGTGGGGTCCATCGCAGGGCCCAACTCGTCCACCTCTGCCGCCACGTCCTTTGTACACACTGCTGGTAGCCGAATAGCGCGGCCACTATCCTCCAGCAACTTCTGGTAGTGGTCGGGCAGGCAACTGACGAGGTCGATCGCCTGGTGACCGACCGCTGGCAGGGCAAGCCTGCCGCGCTGGTAGGTCGCGAACTCTCCGGCGACAACACCTGCGACGGCGTAGCCGGAACCGCAGCCCCGAAGCGCAGACCACGCTCCCGAGGCGGTGAGGTCGTCGGGCGGCGGCGGCACGGCAAAGTAGGCCAGGGCCAAGCTGGCCACAGCGTGGCGCTGGATAGCACCAGGCAGCACTTTGGGGCCCCACTCCTCGCCGCGGCCGCCCAGCACGTTGAGCGTCGAGATGCCGTCCTGCAGCCGCGCCTCTGCAGCCCGTCGGCGCGAGCGCCGCCGATCCGCACAGCGCGACACACCCAGGCCAGCTGGCGAGAGTCCCTCCAGGAGATCAGCCAGGCAGCGCCCAGATGGCAGAGGCAGCAAGTCCCGAGCCCAGTCTAGGCCTTCACCTGCAACACCGAGGCGGCCCGCCATCCTCCTCACGCGGGCAGCCCTCCCCTCTGCAGAATGGGCGGCGGCCGGGGGCCTCCGCCGCCCGTGGCAGCTCAAGCGGCGTCACCCCCCGGCCCGCCAAAAAAAAATCTTCGGGCGCCTGGGGGGCTTCTCGTCGTTCTTGCCGCTTCCGGCACCTGGAGCAGCATCGGTCGAGCGGGCCAGCTGCCGCTCCTCCTTCGCTTTGCGGCGCTCCTTGAGCACCGCGCTCTCCTCGGACAGCTTCTGGGAAATCCAGGACTCTAGAGCAGGCGCCACGAGAGCACGGCCATGGCGGCCCTCCTCGCCCATGAACAGCCTGTCGTTGTCGAGGTGGCCGCTGTCGCCGCCCGCCGTTGCCGCGATGAGCATGCGGGCGCGCCTCTCCTCGAGCAGCTGGTAGCGCCTGCCCGCCAGCTCCAGCGACGCAAGCTCCCCGAAGTTTAGCTGGTCGTAAGTCAGAGCGTACTCGAAGAGCCGGCTCAAAGACTCGTGCTCCCCGACGCCCCAGTCACTGGGGCCCAAGCCTAGCAGCTGTCTCCACCAGAAGTGGCGGCGCACGGGAGTGAGCTCCTGTCGAGCGATCTCACGTGCCAGCCACTCCGCCGTCCTAGGGCCGCTGATCGGCCAGTCCTCGAAGGCCGTCGTCGTGGTCAGCGACGCCGCCTCCTTGTAGGAGCGGCGCCTCTGGCTGGCAGTCTCGTACTTCACGGGGAGGGTGCGCAGCTCGTTGGGCGCAGGCTCAGCCGCCCCCCCCTCCCTAGGCGTAGGCATCTGCTGGCCCGGCCTGAAGAAAGCGCAGGACGCGAAGACGTCGCCCACGAGGGCCACTCCACGATCCCCTCGCTGGCAGCCTGCCTCCAGCTCCGCGTCGCCGACACGCTCGCCCAGCCTAGCGCCTCCACGGTTCTCCGAGTACCGCCGTCCTCCCTCGCCCGCGCTCGGCGCGCCCTCCAGAGCCAGCGGCGGGGGCGCGCCAGTGGGCGGCGGCAGCGGTGGAGAAGCGGCCAGGCCCAGGTCGCGCCTCTCCTGCAAGGCCAGCTCCGCGCCCTCCGCTTGGAGCCGCAGGCTCTCCACACGGTGCAGCGGACCCTGGGACGAGTTCCTGAACAGGTGCGTGGGCCCACGGTTCCAGCCGATTGGCAGGCCTCCCATCGGCCCCAGCAACACCAGGCTCTCGACGCCCTCCTGGAGGTCCTCGAGGTACATGTCTCTCTCGGGGGTGGTCACCACCCAGGATCCCTCGTGCACGTGCGCGCACAGAAGGCGCACATGCCACAACAGCTCACGCGGGTCCTCGTCGTAGGAGACGAGCACTCGCTGGCCCTGGCGAAGCTGATCTAACATCGCCTCCGTCGGTCAGGCAAGGAGTCCCTGAGCCCTCAGGCGTGGCACGACCCTCCGAGCGCCTCAGGCACCACCAGCTACAGGAGGCAGCAGCAGCGAACCCTGCCAGGAAAGCCAGCACCGCCACCAAGAAGACCACCAGCCCAAGAAAGCCCGAGCACTCGGGCGGCGGGCACGGCGCCGGCAACGTGAGGTTCGCGGGCCCGCACCTCTGCAGCTGCCCCTCGAGCAAACGCAGCAGCTCACGGTCCACAGCGAACCCGTCTCCCAGCTCCACCTGGCAAGTACAGCGCTGGCCGTACCACAGGCTGCCCAGTTGTGCCAAGCCACCGGCGCCAGCAGCGGCGGCCCTCGCCCGCTCCATGGAAGGGCGAACCACCGGCTCGCGCGGCTGATTAGAGCCAACGGTTGCGGATCACCAAATTGACAGGCCAACCCGATAAACTATCTCCAAAGCCATCTCGGGCCCCTCTGGGGCCTCGCTGAAGCTGTCTTGAGGGTTTCTTGGGCGTCCTCGGAGACCGGAAATCATGTTCCCGGAGAGGCTTCCGGGAACATGATTTCGAACGAGGCCTTCTTGGGCCTCCCTGAGGCCGTCTTGAGGGCCTCCTGAGCGGGCTTTGGGGCTTCTTGGGCCGCCCCGGGGGGTTCCGTGAGTCCCACGTGGCCGACCCTTTTGGGTTGTCTGGGGCCCTCTTGGGTCTCTCTTGGGCTGTCTTGGGGCTCCGCGGGGGCGGGCGTCTGGGGCACTGTGAAGACGAAGCCAGCGAGTATGCTGAAAACGTACGTTTTGCTAAAGGAATTGGCCGATCTGTGCCTCTTGAAGGCCCTCTTGGGGCCCTCGTCGGCCATCCTCAAGCCATCTCGGGCCCTCTTGGGGGTGAAATTACCATGTGTTTTTGAAGTTTTGCTGTTAACATGTTGAAATTCCCATGTGTTTTTGGACCCCGACGTCACGATCTGCGCGAGGGGTGCCACCGATTTTCAGAATTTCGAGGATGTCCCGAGCGAAACGCCCAGAAAAATCGCGGACGACGCGTGCGCATTAATCGCCTCTGAGCTCTACTCCCTCGGAGAGGTGCGTATGATAATATATATATATATATATACACATATATATATATATATATATTATATATATATATATGTAGCCAGCCCGTCTCCATTTCCGAGGGCCATCCAAGGCGCGCCGAGACAACCGGAAGGAGCGGGGCTGCGGAAAGGGCGCAGCCCATCATATTAAGGCGCAGCCGATCTTTCTCGACGCAATGCGTGGACAGGGGCAGAGGGCGCCGCGGCGACATGTACAGAACACACCGAGATACCCCCGAGCATCGGAGAGGTTCGAAGGGCAAATTAAAATCCAGAGAGCATCACTAAACGCCGGGTGGCCTGCGGGTGGGAGCACTTTGAGCCCCGATGGCGATGGGGGCCCCCCATTGCAGCCCCCTCGCGTTGCACCTGCGCAAAATGATGTGAAAACGCACGGCCCGTGTCCACTTCCGAGGGCCATGCATGGCGCGCCGAGACGACCGGAAGGAGCGGGGCTGCGGAATGGGCGCAGCGCATCAGATTAAGGCGCAACCGATTTTTATCGACGCTACGTGTGGACAGGGGCCAGGCACAAGTAACGGCCAGAGGGCGCCGCGGCGACAGGCACATAACACACCGAGATATCCCGAAACCCCTAACAGGGAAAGGGGCTGGCCGACAGGCCGCTGATAAAATTCGCCGGCCCAACGGGCCAGAGGCGTGCTAAGATCTCCGGTAACTGCTCAACAATATTTCGAATTCGCGCGCGCGGGGCGGGCCCAGGGGGTCCCTGGACGAAAAATAACCCGGCAAGGTCCCGGCAGACTCCCGGCAAGGTCCCGGCAGACTCCCGGCAAGGTCCCTTTTCGGAGCCCAGAAGGGCTCCAAACGGTCCAAGAGGGGCCCGAGAAGCCCTCCAGACGGTCCAAGAGAGCCGGGAGACGCCGAAATATCACTCCCAAACGCCTGCGATGTCCTCAAGACGGCCCAACAGGCCTTCAAGACGCCCCAAGAGGTCGGCGCCCCAAGAGGGCTCCCACAAGCAAAAATCGTCCCATCCCCTTGGGGAAACGTGCATTTTTAACATATCCGCCTCTTCGTCTTTCCCACCTTTCAAAGCGGTCCAAGAGGCCCCCAATATCACCCCAACACGGCCCGCGAGACCCTCAAGACCGCTCAAAGACGGCCCAAGAGCGCTCCAAGAAGGCCCAACAAGCCCTCAATAACTTTTTTCCGGAGCCCAGGAGGGCTCCAAATCGGTCCAAGAGGGGCCCGAGAAGCTTTCCAGACGGTCCAAGAGAGCCGGGAGACGCCGAAACATCACTCCCAAACGCCTGCGATGGCCTCAAGACGGCCCAACAGGCCTTCAAGACGCCCCAAGAGGTCCCTAAGAGGTCCCCAAGCGGCGTCCCAAGAGGGCTCCCCCAAGCAAAAATCGGTTCATTTCCTTAGGGAAACGTGCATTTTTAACATATCCGCCTCTTCGTCTTTCACACCTTTCAAAGCGGTCCAAGAGGCCCCCAATATCACCCCAAGACGGCCCGAGAGACCCTCAAGACCGCTCAAAGACGGCCCAAGAGCGCTCCAAAAAGGCCCAAGAAACCCTCAAGAACTTTTTTTCGGAGCCCAGGAGGGCTCCAAATCGGTCCAAGAGGGGCCCGAGAAGCCTTCCAGACGGTCCAAGAGAGCCGGGAAACGCCGAAATATCACCCCCAAGCGCTTACGATGGCCTCAAGACGGCCCAACAGGCCTCCAAGACGCCCCAAGAGGTCCCTGAGCGGCGTCCCTAGAGGGCTCCCACAAGCAAAAACCGCTTCATTCCCTTGGGAAAGCGTGCATGTTTTACATATCCGCCACTTCGTCTTTCACACCTTTCAAGGCGGTCCAAGAGGCCCCCAAGATCACCCCAAGACGGCCCGAGAGACCCTCAAGACCGCTCAAAGACGGCCCAAGAGCGCTACAAACCCTTAAGACTGTCCAAGAAGCCCCAAGACGGCCCCATGATTGAGGTCCACAGGGGCAAGCTGAACGGAAATTTTGAACCTCCCGCCCAAACACGCCCCCGAAATGCCCCTACAAGCCCCCAAGTAGCCCCACGAAGCCCCCAAGAGAGCCCCAAGGCCCCCAACAGGCCGCAAGAAAACCCCAAGAGGCCCCCAAGAGACCCCCAGGAAGCTCCCAGGAGGCCCCCAAGAGGCCAGGCAGACCCCCCAAAGAGACCACCAAGAGGGCCCACCCAGAGCCATCCACGAGGCCTCCCAAAGTTCCCAAGAAGCTCCCACGAAGCTTCCAAGGGCTCCCAAGACCCCCCAAGAACCCGCGATGGCACAATACGGGCCGGCGGAATGAGCGAAGCGATTAAACACTGAACAGACTCTCTTACATTACCGAGAACTGAGAACACACTGAGCCCAGGTTAAAGCGATCGAACAATGCTACGGCGATAGGCATGCACTGGGGCAAGCATCGAGAAGTCGATAATTTCAGCCATGCGGGCGCACAACTTTGCTGGATAGGCCGCGGCCAGAGCGGTGCGATGGGCCCCGCCCTCGTGGCCGCTGAGAATGATGTGAGGGCGCTGGCTCTTCAAGCACATCCCTCGACGGCCACAGTGCACGTCTTGCACGTGCTAGCATATACACGGACCCCCAACTGGCTACGCGAGCATGTTTGCGCCACGGAGCACCGCATTGACAACTATCGAAGACGCTGACCTGACGCGAAGCATGTTGGAGCAGAGACCGCATGCGACGAGCGCGCCGCAACAAAGACCCAGACGGGTTCTCGATATAGACTGGAATGTGTAGAGATATACATAGCTCAATAATGTCACCGCTGAAGTGGAATGACCGATCGCCGATCCTAAGCTTGGCGCGCTCATGCGGCAGTAGATCGCTCTTGCCCATCGGTCGGGCTCTCGACCTCAGCGGGCGTCGCAGCGCCTGGCCCCATGTCGCGCACGGTGTTCCGAGCCATGCCGCGGCCGCCACGCGGGCGGCCAACCAGCCTGTGAGCGTCAAGCTGAACGCGCTCGAGAGGTGGCCCTCTGCCGCTCCGTGGCGAAGGTCGAGCGCCAGCCCGGGGAAGCCGCGCCGCTTGACCGCCTCGGTCAGCCGCCCCGAGCCGGCAAAAAGCTCGAGCACCACGCGCCGCGCGCGCTGCCTGGCGAGCGCTGCCTTCAGCCGCCGCCGCAGATGCCGCCCGCGCAGCTGCCCCTCGGGCGCCCGAGCAGCCCCAGTGAGCGGAGAAGCGGCTACCGCCGCGCCGCCAACCGGCGGCGACCCCGCCCCCCCTCGGCTTCGGACCCAGCGCGCGCATAACCGCCGCGGGCACCAGGCGCAGGACTGCCGCTCGGTAGAAACCGGGCTCCAGGAGCTGCGCGAAGTGGGCTTCGACCGGCGTCCCGCAGGCGAGCGCCTCCGAGCTCGCCCGCGCGATCTCGCCCAGAAGCGCGCTCCCCTTGCCGCGGCGCCTCGTGATGGCGCAGCCCAGCGCCCAAGGCGCTGTGCCTCGGCAGCAGGCATCGGCGGCGCCAGGCTCTCCCTGGTGAGGCTCTGGGCCTCCGCGGGCCTCAGATAGGCCGCGAAGGCTAAACCTGCTATCGCGTGAGCTGCAGGGCGCGGCAATGGCAGCCGCGTCTCCCCTGGCGCCCTCCGCTGCCATGCAGGTGGGGCCCTCGAGGCCCGGAGGTGGAGCGATGCCGTTCTTTTGAACATCGATGGGGTCTCGTGCGCTATCGCTGCCAGCGTCTGGGAGCCGATGCTGCAGGCCGCGCCCATCTGGTATAGTGGCCCGAGACGCACTGACCTAGAATCAGGTCGATCTTCTCGAAACTGCTCCAAAGTCGGCCGATGGAGGCCACGCCAGTCGACGAGAGTCCGCGGCAGCTGGCGATGGCTCCGCTCGGTATTCGAGCGCACGGCCAGCGTCTCGAGCTGGGCGAGGCCCCCCAGGAGCGGCCGCTCCGCCGCGGCCCGGCGCGCCAGCCTCTGCGGCTGAGCAGCGGCTGCTGAGGGGCTCGGCGCCCGCGGGCCGCGCGCTGCGCTGGCGCCCTGGCAGCCCGGCATGCCTGCCGCGCAGACGGCCAGCGGCGCGCCTCGGGCGGGGGCCCTCCAGCCCCCGTGAGCCGCTGAACCAGCCGCGACGCCCGCGGCTGACGGCATCGGAGGGGCCCCGCTCCGAGGCGACCCGCCGCGCGCGGAACTCGGGGCCCGATGCGATCGACAGTGCGCATGCAAGCCCAAGACAACGAAGATGGATGCTCTAAGTTCTTCCCTTGACCACTCCAAGAGCTAATCGCAAGTTGTATATTATAATAAAGGACCCGACGAC